AGAGACAACTATAGTGTGATTAAGTTGAATCAGAATCCTTGAAGAAGGTGAAATGGCAGCAAGCTCAAGATTGGAATAAAGAACTTAATTTTTTTAATGATTTCAATAATGTGATATTTCATTTAATTTCTAGAAATTGTAATAAAGTAGCTGATTATTGTGCTACTTTAGCATTAAGTAGTAGTTTTGTTTTTGATAGTTTTTCTAACAATTACATTCCTTCTTCTTTATTTTCTTTTTTGAAGAAGGAATGTGATTACTATCTTTAGTTGCTTGTATTTTCTTTATCTTTTAATGCAAATTGCAACTTAAAAAAAAAATCAATTATTACAATACTATTCAGCTCCCTCGAACTAATCTTAGAAATAATGTTAACTTTAGAATGTTAACCTATTTTTTAACATTTATCTAAGTGTGATAGCTAAACAAATAGGAGAAAATAAAGTTCATAAAATAAACACATAAAGCAAACCAAACTATAGTGGTTTAATCACCATGAAGCCTACATCCACTACCCTATATTCTTTTAATAGATAAGTCTCTCTATAAATATTCAATAATTTATAATGGATCAACCTAATACTTCTATAAAACCATGATGATAGCTAAATATTTAGTTCACAACACCATAATTTAGGCCCAAGATAGATCGCTCATAATAAAATCCATTTAAAAGTTTGTTCAAATTTAAATTTGAAATCTCATTTTCATTGCAATATACAAAGCTCACAAAGCTACAAAATGATTAATTTCGTTCAATATGATTCATAAGTTGATCTAGTTGATGTGATTAATTTTATTAATTCACATTGCCATGATATGAATTGCAAGCATTTGTATAATACAATCTACATCATCTTGCTGAGCTATATATATATGATGTTATGATGTTTTAAATAACACAATTGATAAATTACAAGAGAAAGCAGAAGGCAATGATGTGATGAGACATGAAATAAATCCGAGCGTGCAACCTCTGTCTTACGAGATGCTTATGAAGATCCAACACTTCCTAGCACAAAGGGTGTTTCATGTGTGGTTTGTGGCCATCCAAAAGTTGTATATTTCGTGGTAAGCTCCTTTTTAATTCATATAATGCCATGTGTTAATGAACCATGAAATAAGGACAATAAATGTATAAATCTGCAAGCTCTAATCAAAGAATAATAATTGAAGAAAAGTTAGCTCTTTGAAACAAAATTTCAGGACTTTTAAAGATTTTACGTTAGCAGGATCACTATTTTTCAATTCATCTTTTATTTTTTTGGATAATACAGGCTGACAGGGAGGAAAGCTTGGTTCACAGTCAGCCTGTATTATATGAGAACATAGAAAAATTAAATAAAATGGTGAGGATCTTCATCATTCCCTTTTATCCTTTTTAACTTTATCATGTGAGAACTAAAACTAAAGAATTTATTTTCATTAATAAGAAAACACAAGTGCTAACCGCTTAGAACAAAACATAATTTTATTTATGGTGCGTTTTGGTTGAAATAAATTTTTATTTTTTTTCACTTTGGGAGGCCTACATACAATCATTTCACATAGAGAGAGAGGTAAAGAAAAAAATGTGGGAGATATTCTTCGATTTAATCTAGGGAAAAAGAAATATAGATCAACAACAAGTTTTTATATTTGTTATTCTATGGGATGATCACTACTCATTTTTTTATAATGATTAACACTTTGAAATTGGAGTCATTTTTTTCATAGCAATACATAAAGTTCACAAAGCTAAATTTGCATGTTTAGAATCAAAGCAGGAGAAGAGAGAAAGACTTGGCTTCATGTGGGATAGCTTTTTTAACACTTTGAAATTGTAATTATAATTTTTTGTTTGGCCAAACTTTTTCATAGCTTCCAATAAATTTTTGTGCTAGATGTTGCTTTCTATAAGATTTTCTAAAACATTGTTTTCTCCATATCAACTTTACAACTATTTTTAAAAAAGTTACATGCATCCCAAATGGACCATTAGTGTGAAAAACCATTACCCTTAATTAATTTCCAAAATAAGAATCAAAGCATGAGAATAGTGATTAACTTTTTTTTTTTTGGTTAAAACCCACAAAGGGGCCTACGTGTTAATTCCAAAAAAGAGGTTACACAGCCCTTAGAAGGGACCTCCAGCTTGCTAAGGCTCAGAAGAGCTACAAAAAAAGTCAAAAAAAATCCTAAAAGCTGGTGGTCACTTTTTCTACGATTACAAAACCAATAAGCATAAGCGCTAGGGCTGCGGGAAAACAGCACCCAAAAAAGGAAGATCATGATGTTCTCGTTCGGCTCAATCCTCCTGCAAAAAATGAAAGCAAAAAACCATGAGAATAGTGATTAACTTGTTGTGAAAGAACTCAAAATAATGGTTGAGCTATTGTCAAATTTCTCAAGTGAAACATATATGGCACACTTTATCTTTTTTATTTTTCTAATATTCAAATTAACAAAATGAATTTTTAGATATATCATATTTAAATTTTGATATTTTTTCCCTTCTATTTTGTTGTCTAAGATAAATATTTCTCGAAATAACAAGAATCTATTCTTACGTGAAAGGTTTTAAGTATCAATTAGACATTTTAAGGAGAACGGAGTATTGAGATTGCATTTGTACTATCTTGATGACATTTAAATTAATTTTGATCACTGTATTTTTTCTTTTTTTATGTAAGAAATGAAATCTAGTTTTGTTTCTTTGAATCCCATGTATCAGTAATGTTTTAGTTTTAGGCTAATGATTTTTTTTTTGGTTTAAAAACACAGATGGGCCTACGTGTTAATTTCAAAAATCGGTTACAAAATCCTTAAAAGTACCCACCAGCTCGCTACTGCTCTGGAGAGCTACAATCAAAATTTAAATAAAAAAACCTAAGAGCCGATGGTTCCTTATCCTACGATTACAAAAACAACATGAATAAAGATACGGGCTGTGAGTAAACATCACCCAAAAAAGGAAGATCCAATTTATCTCGTTCAGCTCAAACTTCCTGCAAAAAAATAGAAGAGAATAGGAAAAGAAATACAAGAAGGAAAAGAAGAGATTCTTACCTTCGAACACCATGCGAAGCCTTCACGCTCCAATGGTAGGAATCCTCCTTTGAATGATCTCTCACACTCTCTCCTTGACTCTTCTTTCAATAGGACGATCAGTTATACTATAGGTTGGTTCCCTAATATCTGTAGGACGTAACCAACTGTGGTAAGTTAGTTCACATCGTCCTGGGACGAACAGGACTTCGTCCGGATGAAATTTTTATAGAGAGCAACTCGTCCTGGCACGATAATGAATTTCGTCTAAACAAAATTTTATAGAGAAGAATTCGTCGTGGGATGATTTGGATTTTGTCTGAACGAAATTTTTACAGAGCACAAGTCATCCTGGCATGATTATAAATTTTGTCTGAACGAAATTTTTATTGAGCCCAATTCATCCTGGGATGAAAATAATTTCGTCATGGACAATGAGGACTTAGAAAAATTTCATCACCTCATGTTCGTTCCATTGCTCCTACGAGGAGATAACTGACTTGATCGTCCCGTACGAACTAGATTCATCCCGTATGATCAGTACAACTTTTGTAAGATCTCCTTAAGTGTGTGTGTGTGTGTTTTTATTCACTCAATTACAATCACTCCCTCTCAATTCAAAAAAAAAATAAAAAATTAAAGCTTCAATTTACAAAAGATTGTATGCTGAATTCAATTTGAAGTCTTCATAGTTTGGAGTTCAATTTTCCTGAAATGTTAGTACACACAAAAACAAAAATAAATCTACCAAAAGTGTTAGGAGATAAGCAAGCACCTTTAGCCCGGTGGAAAAATTTTCAACTATCAGACTACTGCTTATCACTGCTACCACCCTTGACTGGCTTACTTACCATCTAGATGTTTCGAATGCTTTCCTCCAGGGGAACTTAGATAAGCAAGTATTCATGAAATAGTCGCAAGGCTTTCAAGATTCCCAACACCCCAATTATGTCTGTCAACTCCGTAAGGCAATTTATGGGCTAAAGCAATCCCCACGGCGCTGGTTTGCTACGTTTTCAGCATAACTTATCAAACTTGGGTTCATACCGAGCAAACATGATCCTTCTTTATTACTGTTTCACCAACAAGCTGGTTATATTTATCTTTTAGTTTATGTGGATGATGTGCTCATCACTAGAAATAATTCGGAAGCCATAGTCAACTTGCTGTAACAACTACAGTCCAGGTTTCGCATGTCGAACCTTGGTCCCGTCAAGCAGTTTTTCGGCATTCAAATTTCTCATCACAAACAATCTCTACTTCTTAGCCAATCTAACTATATTTCCGAAGTTCTAAACAAAGCAGGAATGCTTCACTGTAAGCCTGCCCTCATCCCTTTATAGACCAAATTACAAACACCAACTGATACCTCTCCTCTATTTCCTCAAGCTGACTTGTGCAAACAACTTGTGGGCTCCCTTCAGTACATTACCATTACTCGTCCTGACGTAGCCTTTGTCGTGAATTACCTGTGCCAACATATGCACAAACCATTCCAACTACCCTTTTAATACCTTAAACGGGTTTTGAGGTATCTCAGTGGAACTATTGATTATGTTATGCCTCTTACAGCTGTAGATTTACAGCTTCAAGCCTTTGCTGACTCAGATTGGGCAGCCAATCACTCGGACCGTAGGTCCATCTCAGGCATCTGTGTCATTATTGGCTCTAATTTACTCTCGTGGTGTGTTAAAAAGCAAACCATCGTTGCTCGTTCCTCAACCGAAGCGGAATACTGCTCACTTGCGGTTGCAGCAGCGGATGTCCTCTGGCTCTGCCGACTACTTGCTGACTTTCATATCCCATCTTCTTCTCCAACCCCTATACATTGTGACAATGTATCAGCGTTAGCATTGTCGAATAATCCTGTTTTTCATGCTCGAACAAAGCATATTGAAGTTGATTATCCCTTCATTCGGGATTGTATTCAGACTCAACATGCCACCATTCATCACATCTCTACAACCGATTAGCTAGCTGATATTTTTACAAAACCTTTATCTTATACAAGGTTTCAATTTCTTCGTTCCAAGCTGACAAATCACTCTCCATCATCAGCTTGATGGGGGGTATTAGCTATAGCATTACCACCTGCTCCACTCCTCCTGAAATGTAACTAACCAATTGTTCTACTCCTCTATAACCCGTTGATTACCTGCCACTACATCAAGACCGTATAATGTATTATTTGATCACATTATATAATACCTCAAGGTACCGGGACGAGGCACGCTTTGCCTTTACAATTCTTCTTCTTCTTGTTTATGCTTTTCCTCTGTATGCAGGTACTGAAGAAGAAGACTCTCGGCGTCATCACTTCACATAAAAGAAATCATGAGATGAATTGTTGATTAAATATCCCATAAAATAACAAAATATAAAAACTTGTTAGTTGAGAAATATATTCTCTTTCCTTAGATTAAATAGAAGAACATCTCCCGTATTTTTTCCTCTGCCTCCTCTCTATGTGAGATAATTGTATGTATTTCGACCAAAAATAACCATAAATAAAATTATGTTCTCTTAGCAGTTGGAAATTTTGTTCTCTTATTTATGAAAATAAATTCTTTAGTTTTAGTTCTCACATGGAAAACTTAAAAAAGATAAAAAGGAATGATTAATATCTTCACTATCTTGTCATTGCCTTCTACCTTCTCCTGTAATTTATCAATTGCATCATTTTTAAACATCATAAATGAATATAATAATATATATATATATATATATATATATATCCCAACAAGATGATGTAGATTATATTGTGCAAATGCCATTTGAATCGATCAAATTAATCACATCAATTAGATCAACTTATGGATCATATTGTAGCTTTGTGAAGTTTATATGTTGCAATGAAAATGAGATTTCAAATTTAAATTTGCACATCCTTTTAAACAGATTTTATTTGGTGTGATCTATCGTGGGCCTTAAATTATGGCATTGTGAAATAAAGATTTATGTCATGACTAGTGATCATCTAGTTTTAATAAAAGTATTAGGTTTCTCATTATACATTAAGGAGTATCTATTGTGGGGCTTTACTATTAATAGAATATGGGGCAGTCGATGTAGGCTTCATGGCAATTAAACCACTATAGGTTGGTTTGCATTATGTTTTTATTTTATGAACTTCATTTTCTCTTTTTTGTTTTTCTATTATTCTTAGATAAAAATTAAAAAATAGGTTAACATTTTAAAATTAACTTTATTTTTTAAATTATTTCAATGGAGCTAGATAGTATTGTAATATTCCAGCAAAATAATTTTTTTTTATTCATTATAAGCTCAAATCACAAATCATCTTTTTCGTAACATATATATTGTAATGATTTAATTATATTAATTTTTTCATAATTTTTTTTGCATTGATGAAAATCTATAAAAAAGTGACACCTATCATATAAGTGGGGTTTTAAGATTATTAGGTGTCTATTTTATAAACCAACTTCAGCAAAATTTTATAAATAAATTTGGCAATTTTATGGGTCTTTTTTAAAATTTTAGAAGTACCAAAGGAATTTTTATGAATTTTACATAGAAAATTAATTAAATTAGATAATTATATTTATATTATATTAAATAATATGTGGAATACCACATAATTTTTAATTAAATAATATTTTCCTTTCTTAAATTGATTAACAAAGAGATTGTCTGTGTAAATTAGAGAGAAAATAAAGGAGAGAGAAAAACATTATATTCAGGTTGTAAAATGATTTTTATCAGTTGACTTTGTTAGGAGATTTGCTCATCTCAATGTAAGTAAAACTAACTCTATTTCTGATTTTTATAATTAGGGAGTTTTTAAATTTTTTCGAACATTTTTGTGGTTTCATCACTAAAAAATATGGATAATCTGGTATTGACAAAACTTTGAATCGCAAATTTTTATATATTATAGAAATTGAGATTGTAAATTTTTTGAGTTCTTATTTAAAATTTTTCAGTTGGTGGTTTTGAAAAGCAGTAATTTTTTATCGATTCAAAATTTTATTTTAACATAAAAAAAATATTTTTTTGTTCAATTAAAGTTTTCTAATATTGTTATATATAATGTATGGTAATTTGGTTAATTTCTTAAATATACATTTCTGCTCTGTAAGATTTTTGTTGCCTATATTTGGTATCTTTTGAAACTTTCTGAATTAAGCCATATTAAATTATATTTACTGTAATTCATTGAAAATAAATATGGGTATATGATTGCGTAATAGATAGTCGCTATTACTATTGTAGCATTTTGATTAAAATGTGTGTGAGAAAATTAAGTAAAGACTGATTATTCATTGATGTTTGTTGAGTACTGATTAAGAAATACATGATGTTGGGCTGACGGGCATTTTTTTAATTACAATAGTTTGGTGTTATCCTCTATTAATTCATGTGATAATAATTGAGAATTATAAAGAGTTTACTATTGTACTAATGGGCAAAGGGTGATGACTATTTATTAAGCAAATGGCTTACTAACACTAATACATTACTAGAAAAAAACACTTATTAAGCTAAAATTTGTAAGATAATATACTCTGTCAAATT